CAGCCAGGGTTTTGGAGTATTATAATTAAGGCTAAGTAACCATGCATCCAGAAAGGATCCAAAAGCCCCTTAAAGTCTTTGGCCTTAAAAACAGTTCTTTAAAAGATTGTAATCCAGAACTTTGCAAGTTGTGCTGTGTGGTTTGAAAATCTAAGAATCTTAAGAAAATCGGAAATCTCTGCGACTTTGCTCTTGACAGTAAATTAACAAGTATCATGTTTCTGCTATTGCAGTCACCATATCTGACCCCGGATGCACAAAGAATATTGGTCACCATAATCTCTGCCCCAAAGTAAAGACAGAGACAGGACATTCTTAAATTTGTATTAATCATCATTAATCCCTACAGTCTGAGCAGCAGGAAGTCTGCGTCTCTGTGCAGGTCACTCCTGCTCTGTGTCCCTCAGCTGTGAAGTGCCAGGGTGGCAGCTTCTCTCCTATTCCTGTGTTTATCAGCACGGCCAGTCCACACTAGATCCAGGTCCTGAAGCGTCCTGGAGGCGACAGCTCTTCAGTGGCCTGTCGCCAGCCTTCACGGACAGGCTTCAGCTGCCACCTTGAGAAGCCCAGGAATTACAGGAGGTAGCTGCAAGCAGTGCTTACACAGGTCACGCTTTTACACAAACTAGGCTTTAAAAAAAAAAAAAAAAAGCCTAGCTTGGTGTTTTTCCAGTATTTTAGCTTTTAAACAAAACAAACTTTAAAAAAAAAAAAAAGTCTAGCTGAGTGTCTTTCCAGTATCTTCCTGAGTGTCACCTTTGCCATGAAAAGTTTAAGCTTCCCTGTAACATCCCACGTTCTCCATAAGTACTTACTTGCCCCTTAGAAAGCCTGTGAGCTGCCCTTCCTAGAAACCTGATTTTCCTTCAGGGAGGCTCCTCAGCTGTGTACCAATTTGGCCAGAATTTCCATACCTGTTTTCTTTCCCCTCGTAAACTATTCAGCTTCTAAAATGGCAAGTTGACAGCCTTTGCTAAAATGGATTTTTATAGAGCTGCACCTCCTAATTCCCCTTCTTGGGCTGTCTTGGAGGATGGCTCTGTTCGGCCAGCCTTGCAGGCAGAAGGCTGCATTTTAATCAGCAAGGCCCCTACAGTCCCTGAACCCCAGGTTGGTTTTCATGCACTTCCCTAAGCCCTTGTTATCGCCCATTCCAACCCAGAAGATTTTGAAAAATTAACCAAATTAAGCCAAAGTGTCATTGCCCATTAGGTGTTTCTTGAGCTGCTTCGTGTTTAGGCCGTGAAGATGAGCTCCGAGGGAATTGCTTTTATTTTGGCTCTCCGACACTGGCCGTGGCTGCCTTACCCAAGCCCTGCAGAAATGCTGTTTTTCCTGGGGTGACACCAACAGAAGCTTGGATGCTGGCAGTTGTGGCCTGTGATGGACTGGGTGTCCCTCAGACCCCTCTGGGGGGAAGTAGAGATGGTGGCAGGCAGGCATTTCTTTGCCCTCTACTCGGGTAGAAACATTCATACTCTGAAACCCACACCTGTTCTCTGAACTCCACATGAAGTTTCCCTGTCAGATCAAGTGAATATCAATTCATTTCCTTTTCTATCCTAAACGTTCCATATTTAGTTCCCAGCTTGCCCCAGGGGTTGCAAGTTTGGCTTAAATTACGTTTAAAGAGTGAGGAAAGTGATATTTCACTTTAATGTTGAGTTTCAGGCAGACTTTCCTCCAAAGATCTTTCAGTTTTAGCTAGGAACGCCGTGAATAACCTGTATGGATTTGCAGATAGGAGAGTTTCATCCCTGTGGCTCTTTTTCCTTCCCTGTCATATTTGGTATTGGGGTCCTATTCCTTTCCTCTCTGCCAGGAAGATGAAAACACTGCTGAGAAATCCAGATTTGTCACAGTGGAGTTGAGCTGTGGGAGGACAGCAGCAGGAACATTTATGTTTTATTCCCAGTTTAAAGTTGATGGGGGTTGTTACGTTTTGTGTACAGTTTCTTGGAGGTGCTGCCCTTTCTTAGAACATCATGTGACTTAGTGGTGATAATTTGGTTTCCCCATTTCATTTTCCCTGCATCAACAGCCTGATTTCAAACTTAAGTGTCGGGCAGGGAGAGAGAGGGAAGAGATTTTTCTCCCTGTTAGTGAAAGTCGCTGATGGGACGGGACGGTGTTCGCGTATTTCTTGTTAGTTGGCCCCATTGCCTAGTAACTGTGAAGTGATAGCTGTAATTCCCATCAGCTGTAGGCTTCTTTTTCCTTCCAAAAGTTTTGCTTAATCTGATGTGTTTTTAGACTCATAAGGGCATCAGCATACACACGTAAACTTCACAGTTAACTAAAGCGTCTTACTCGAAAGAATGTCAGAGTGGTGAGGGCACCAATCAGAAGCAGGGAACTTGCATCCAAACGAAGTATCGTTAAATCCCATTAATGTGCTCCCTCCATTTTTTCAGTCCTTGATGGAGTCAGATAAACATGTGCAAACACTGAGCCATCAAAGAGAGGTTAAAAATCTAAGGCAGGTGAGGGGCCGCTGTCCTTGTGACGATTTTTGATCATAAGGTCTTCCTAGTGAATGGTGAATCTGGTGTTCCTCTTAGAAGGGTGATTGCATTTCCTTTCTGTTTTCACAATATTTTACAAACAAACTGTTTGCCTTCTATCACAGAGAAACAAGTTGCCTTTCTGTCCTGTGGAGTGGGGGTTTCTCTGTTAATAACAATTTGTCCTCTGTGACAAATTTAAACTTCTAAACCTGGGCCAGGTGTCTCCCAGTTGAACCGCCAGGCACAGGCCGTTTCCTGTGAGACCTCGGGGGAGCTCCAGGATGTAGTGCCACAAGGGGCCCCAAGCCCATTCTGCAAAGAAGGAAAGAGTGACGATCAGTGCATTCCCTTCTTAATGATGAAGTTCCCTGAAGGTTCTGGACCTTTGGATGAGACTGTGATGGTTGTTGCTCTAGACTGCCCACTCTGGCCTCCTGCCCCTGGTTTCAGGGCCAATGCCCTATTCTGCTTAGAACGATGCCACGTTGGGGGTTGTAGGTGCCCTCTGCCTTCTTCCCTCCTGTGCTGACCCGGCGCCAGCATTAGAGCAAGCTGCGTGCCCTGCCTTTGTACTTGAAGAATGAAGTGTGTCACCTTCCCAGCATGCACTGGTTTCTGTGGCTGAATAATTAACACCAGAGGGAACCGGGGGATGGGGTCTGGATTAGGTAATACTTTACGCCTTCTCTCTTGGCACTTACAGTTAAGTCAGGATCGGGACTTGGGGACCATAGTCACCTGATGACTAATTGCCTGGTGATCTTAGGTTGTGGTTTATTAAGTGTTACTGTGAAGGAAAGAACCAAATCCCCTCCCAAAGAACCATGTCTACACCCCTGTTTCTTCATGCCTCAGGGGCCCCAGGTAGAGTAGCTAGAATAGCACTGGCTCTGGCAGGTTAAATACCTCACAGATACTGAGATCTGATATCGTTTTATTACCTTTTCTCCATCTGAAATCAACAAGCCATTATTTTATAGTCTAGGACGATATTGTCTAGTATCATTACAAAGCAAAGAATACCTTCAAAAAAAGCCATCAGCCAGGGAAACGAAATACTTGGGGAAGGGGTGGGAAGAAGGGGCCTTTTCCTGTTTTACTGTCTCTATCTCTAATAAAACAACCTAAGTTCTTCTGTTTGGAGCTATAGCAAGGGTAATTATGACCGTAGGTATGTAATATTACGAGTACCAAGTCCTGCTGTCTTTCTGAATATTGGTGGTGAGAGGTAAGATTGCCAAACAGTCCAGCCACAGAACAGAATTGTACACTTGTGAAACCTCCAGGTGAATTTAAGATAATATCTTTTTTAAAGGAGAGAGAAGCAGATGTACGTAACGTGTGTGTGTGTGAGTGTGAGAGAGAGAGAGCTTATTGATGCATTTTTCATTACTTGTTCACCTTATCTGGTGAGAAGATCCTGAGGTTGCTTCCCTACCACTTTTCCATTTCTTGGCCTAGAGCCATTTTTTTCCTACCATGACAGCTGACACTGTCTCCATAAACAAAAGGTCTTGAGGTCTGTCATGTCAGTTCCTTTAGCTACATCTCTATGAGTATGTGTGTGTGTGTGTGTGTTTATATATATATATATATATATATATATATATATATATTTAATTCTCTAACTTTTCCGGGCTCAGTGGTCGCAAGAAATCTGATAAGATTTGTGTAAATTCAGATGCTTTGAGAGGATTTACCGTTTGAAGGTGGCTGAGTGCATAATAATAATACCAACAATAATAGTGTTGTTAATTTTTAAAGGGATGTTTTGTGGGAGGTTTTTTGGGCCATATGTATGCGTGATATGATTGTTTTTCCTCTGCAGATTTTTAATATAAAAAGCAAATTCCTAGGACACCCCACTTAGAGATTACTTCTCCTTTTATAGTGAGGGAAGTCAAGATTACCCCAACCCAGCAGTGCAGACCGATGAAGCCTTTGTGGAAAGTGGCCATTTTCACTCCCCTGATGTTGGGATATCAATGGGAAGGGTGGTAAGCAAGGTCACTTAGTCCTCATAGCCGGGGGAGGGGGAACCAGAAGAGCATAGCTGGTCGGCTTGGGGTGACCAGCTCCCCTGGTTTTAGCATGCAAGTCTCGTGTCCCAGGAAGCCCCTCAATCCAAAAATCTAGAGTAAAACCCCATCTGCACCCCAGGCCTCCCTAACTTGGAAGGGCCCGCTGAGGCACCCCGATTTGCCTCGCTTTGTTAACCTCCACAAGTGAATGGCCCCATTTCCTCGAGGCTTTTTAACGTGAGGGCGTTTTGTTATCAAGCACGGAAATAAGGTAAGTGATCTCCAGGCTTCGTCCTTAGGTTTTCAGCCCTTTGAAGCTAGTGCAGCAGAACAGCTTGACCCTTGGCCCAGCTGGCACCCCTGGCCCAGAGGCAGGTGAGGGACCGGAGGCTGAGGAGACGTGACCTGGAGGGCGCACTGCTGCTGTTTGAATGTCCTTAACCGTCTCTGGTTTTCTTCTCTCCTCCTTTAGACCCTCAAACTGACACAAGACCTACAGAGAAAACCCTTTGCCAAATCTGCTCTCAGCAAGTGGACAGTGATACCGTTTACAGCTTAACACCTTTGTGAGCCCCTGCCATTTCCTACCCCAGCAGAGACTGTTATCGGCCCCTTACCCCGGGTGAAGCACTTACCCTCGCACAGAACTCTCTCTATAAAGTATGCAAAACCTTCCTTGTACGGGGTGACAGCCACCTGCCAGCGAAGGACAGCACCCTGCCAGCACCACCCACCCTGTTCAGAGCACACCGTGAGCCCGCGGGCCATTCTGTGGTGTTTTAATATCGTGATGGTTTATGGGATGTTTTAAGTGTTGTTTTTGTGTTTGTTTTCCTTTGACTTTGAGTTTCTCACATGCATTAACTTGCAGTCTTTTTATGTTAAAATATTAATCATGCTTCCCCTGGCAAATTTAAACACAGAAGGAAAATGTTGTACCAACTACTATGCTGGCTTTGGGTGTCACAAGCATTCGAGCCCGTAGAACTCCCCAAACTAACACATTACATAAACTAGAGGGGGGTTTTCTTTCTTCTTTCGTTTGGTAGGAAACTATCCTTTTCTAAAAACTGAACAGTGGCACAAGTGTTTTCTGTGTGCACCGGTCCAGGACAGAGCCCTACGTCGGCAAACCTGGCTCAGAACCAAACCACGTGCTTGGCTCTGAGTCAGGGTGGTCGGGGGATGAGACCCCGGCACCTGGTCTGCAGTTGCCAGATCAGTAGGGCCTGTGGTCTCCTGTCAGTATCCTCAGCGAACACAGTCAACAGTGATGGTATGTTGGTAGAAATTACAATTTTTCAAGGAAGAAATCAGCTCAGCTGTCCGCTCATTGCCAAATGCCACTAACAGGTTTAGTTTTAAGGAGAAAAGAAAAGAAAAAAAAAAGTAGTCGTGTTTTTCTTTGCAGAAGAAGTGAACTTACAGGTGAACATTAAGCCTGCAGTGAGAAATGTGTGGAAAGTACAAACCCGAGTCACTGTTTTTCTAAACGTGCACCCTTGATTATTTTCAGTCTTGCTCTGTATAATCTGATCTAGTAGATGTGTATGAGTGACAAGCAATAGCATACAAACTGATTTCTTTTTAATATAAATAAGCTTAGATTGTAATTGTACAAGTGTCACAATGGAAGTACAAGATAGGGCAGTTTTGACCTCCCCCCACACACTTTTCCTGCTTCTATGGATTTCATTTTTTTTCTTTTCAAAAAGTTATGGTGCTGTATAGGTGCTTTCTGTTTAACCTGAAAAGTGTGATTATATTAGTTACCCTCTTTGGTAGACAGGATAGTTGGGAACACCGTTGGTACATATGAAACTGGTGTAATGATGCCCTGATTAGCACAGCATATGCATACTTCTCCAAAGTGATATATGAAGACTCTTTTCGTTGCATAAAAAGCATTAGGCATAGAAATGTATAAATATATTTTATCATGTACAGTACAAAAATGGAACAGTCTGCATGGATGTTAGGGATACAGGCTAGTATTTCAGCACAGACCTCCCTGCATGAGTTCTCGCTGATGCTTGCACCGTGCAGTGGGCACTGATTCCCTTCCACCAACACAGACGTGCCACCCGACCCCCTGCACCCATCACCAGCCACCAGGGGCCCCTTTGTGCACCTTTGCTTCCTGATTCCTCTGGGGGTGATATTGGTGGTGATAACAGCTCCTAGCATAATGAACGTTCCATTTGGTGTTGCCACTTGTCTCTCCCGCCTCGCTTGGGCTGTCATGTTTGAGCGATGGCCCCGTTGATTTCACCCTGCTCCCTACTGAATCTGTAAATTGTTGTGCAATTTGTGGTTATAGTAGACCTGTAGCATATCACCTTTTCTAAACTGCTACAAGTTTATAATCTTCATTTTGAAAGTACGTATAATTTTTAAAAATATGTATTCTATTCACGTGGTCTGCTTGTCAGTGAGACGGACTTTTGCTTACTGTATTCTTTTGTAATAAAGCTAGCCACTTCCTTGATTTCTTTGGTAGTCTGCTGTACACAAGAACTGTCAAGTGTCAGCAAGAGAGGACTGCCTCTCTGGGTCCCTAAGTGGTGCAGCCCCCTGGGTGGAGACATAGTTCGGAGACAGTGGCAGCAGCTCAGGGACGGGGGCGAGTGGCAGAGGGGTGTTGGATATAGGGGAGAATCCGAGTGCTTCCAACACAAGGGCCCTGAGAACTTCTCTCCTGAGCTCAAAGAAACAAGAAAACTAACAAAATAGCTACTTGCCTTTGCAGTTTTATACACTGTGGGAAATACTTTGGGAGTAAGAAAGGCAGCCCTCAAATGTGTTTTGACTTTTAAAGTGTTGAATTCCTTTCAGACATGTGGCATCTCATTTATTCTTTTTTTTCCCCCCAATGTTTGTTAGATTTCAGGCAGAATGTTTTACAAAATGTCCTAGAACCGGATTCTAATTTAATCTAAAACAGCTGAGGGAGGGACAGAGAGGTATGAGAGCAGGATAGCCACAGAGCAGATCAGGAAAACGGAGAGGGAGGGGTGCTTGGAATTTTTTTCTTTTCCTTTTTTTTTTTTTTAAGTAAGTCAGCATCTACATGTGGAGTGTCGCGGACAGCTGAGATCAGGGCAAAGTGTAGCGCCAGCATCAGGCCTAGAAAGGGTCAGGCAACAATGGGATAGTTAAGCCTGTCCAGGATCACAGCAGGTCCACTCTCACCCTTGGCCGCCCACCCAGAGGCCAGGATCCCTTAGGCTAACTGAGTCCGAAGGCAGTCAGACAGGGCAGAGGTGCCACCTAAGCCCTCTCCCTCTTGTATTTGAAGACCCTGCTTTCAGGAGGGGCTTACCGATGGCCACCATGTGGAGTTCTGAGTGCCAGGGGCCCGCACAGGAAGTCTTCTGACCTGGAGTATCTCAGTGGAATACTTGGTAGTCTCCGGGAGTCTGGCGGTTGTAATGTTTGCATCCTGATAAGAACTTTTGGAGTCTACACTCAGCCTCTAAATAAGCTAGGGAGCCTTCCACTTTTTGATGGGAAATTTAGAAAGAAGAGTAACGATGTTGAAAACATGACCCGAACTCCAGGGTTCTATTCTCTTCAGGGCTCCGGAACCAGATACATTTTACCAAAGTTAGAAAAGAGCTTTATCACAAGCCTTCACTGTCCTGGCGTGAGTGAGGCCTGACCGCCAGGTTCAGAGTATCCCATTAACTGAATGAATCTGAGGTCGATTTCCTTTATCCTTTATTGCATCCCCTGCAATGTAATGACTGCCGAAACATATTTTTTTAGATTTCAGAAGTTTGTCTCTCCTGTTAACGGGAAGAGCGTGCACACACGTGTAGTAATGGTGGACTCTGTGTGTGTGTGTGTGTGTGTGTGTGTGTGTGGTGGTGAGTTTTGCCCTGTGCGTGTTGCTCCCCCACCCTGAGGAGAAGACCTCTTGGCTCACTGGTCAGGACAGGTATGCCCAGTCTCAGGGTGTCATTTCAGGCGGCTTCTGAAATTGTTAAAGATGGTAGGGAGTCTATCTAATGAACCCCACTTAAAGAATAAGGAATATTTGAATCTCTTGGAAAGGCCGTCAAGAGGAAAGCAGTCAAACACCCAGGCCCAGTTTTCATGCTGATGCCAAGGGCTGGTGAGGGGAAATTTAAAAGTTACCCTTTCTCTCTGAAAGCAGAAATAAAATCCTGACAGCTCCAAACTCTGATTTCTTCTTTCTCGGTGTATTTGGGGAACATTGTACGATTAGGTATAATGTATTCTTTTTTAATTAAGAAAAGCAAAAAACTTTGTAGAAATACAATCACTGGCAAAGAGGTATGAAAAAGCCAGCCTCTCCTGGAGAGCAGGGGCGGCAGGGCACAGCGAGGGGAGAGTGAAGTCCTTGTGAAATCATGTCTGTCGGACAAGATCTTAACGCAGATGCTCAAGTAACTGAAGAGTGCGGTCGGCCCTCCGCATACACGGGCTCAGCATCCTCGGATTCAACCAACCACGGATCCGTAGGGCCGACTGTACTACACCATTTTATATAAGGGACTTGGGCATCCACAGATTTTGGTATCTGTGGAGGTCCTGCAACCAAACCCCCACGGATACCAAGGGGTGACTGTGTATTATATTTGATCTAGATCTCTAGTGGGTAACATTTTATGCAGTTCGAATGAATGAAATGTTTTCCTCTTGTTTAGTTTTATTTGTATGTATTTTTCTTTGTTGAATGATTGGTTCCGAGGCCTCTGCCACACTCCAGAAATATTTGTGCGGCTGCTTTAAAAAAAAAAAACAAACAACTACATGTCTGGTCACTTATTTCTCTAAAATTATCTCATTGCCTGGCAATCAATCTTCTCTCAATACACTTGTCCTAGTACATTATGTACATGCAAAATGTAAACAGATGTGAAGGAGGACCAGAAAAATTAGTTAATATTAAAAAAATGTACATTTTGGCTTCACATGTTTAACTTTTTTTTAAGAAAAAAAGCTGCATGAATGGAAAAAAAATCTGTATACAGTATCTGTAAAACTGTCTTATCTGTTTCAATTTCTTGCTCATAACCCATGCAAACTAGAACTCATTGTGGTGCCTGGCCATATTCAAACACCTAAGAGTCATGCAGTTGATACTTTGGTTTGAAGCACCTCATCCTTTCTTTCAAAGCGAACACTATCATATTGCATTCTTACTGAGGATTGGTCTATCCATATGTTGCCATGAATTATCTCTACCACCTTTCCTCTTAAGAATCAAAACCAGTTTGATTTGGGAATCTTCTCCTTTCCAAATGAAATAGAGATGCAGTACTTAACTTTCCTTGGTGTTTGTAGATATTGCCTTGTGTATTCCATTTAAAACCGTAATCTAGTTTGTAAAAGAGATGGTGACGCATGTAAATAAAGCATCAATGACACTATCTTACTCCGAGAAGTTTTTTGTTCTCCTTCCCCCTTTCTTTAACCCGAGGAGTGAAATAGCTGAGTTTATCTCAAGGTCTTCCTGTGGAAGAGGCACAAAGCTGGAAGACTCTATCCTGAGATCTCTAAACTAAATGAATCCTGCAGACTTTTTCTCTGACCCACTTTTGACCTTCACAGGCAACCGTACAATTTAATAAAGCAGATTTATGGCATTGTTCATGGTGGCTGATAGCCACTTTTGGCCTGCCCTGAGTCAGGTTGCCCTGGAGGAGCTTTTACATAGGGAGGCGGGATTTAAACTCTGTCTTCCTTGGGTGTCAGAGGTTTTGACCTGTCACAGTTTTGGCCCTAAGGAGGTCCTGCTCACGTGAGTCCAACAGATGAATGTCCGTCATCACGGTGCCCTCCTTCACACCAAAGTCAAACACAACGCCTAAGGCTGCTGGTGGCAATAGCATAAATATTTCCTCTTAGCTAAGTTAGGGGGAACTCCACCCTACTGTAAAACTATACTTAGTAGCCTGGGTTGTGGTTTTCCTATTAATAGACGTTATAAAAATCATTCAGCTTTTGGGTTCAAAGTCCTAAGCAGCACGATGGACTCTTACTTCAGATCAAGTAGGTATAAAAGATTTTAAAGTTTGCCCTTTGGGATAAATTCTACATTGGTGAAGAGTCATGCTTTCATAAGTCTGTCCTTATCATTGTTTTAATTTCCTGTACAGGTAAAACTTCATCTTCTAATACCAGAGCCAACTAGGAGAAGGTATTTCGTTTGCGATTGCTTTCAAGTTTTGATTCTGTCTCCCAAAAGGTTAAAGATGAAAATCCAAAACCAGCTTCACAAGATTCTCAGTAGAGAGTTTTCCCAAACCAGGTAAAAATTCAACTAAAATTAATTGAAGTTAATGAGTCAATTACTAAGTCAATTTCAAGTGTGGCAGTGGGCCAGAGGCTGTGATGGGCACCAGTAGAGCTAGACCCTGCCCTCCATGAGTTTATACTCAAGATATCATCTATCTGCTCCACCTTGAGGAGTAAAGAGTTCATTGTTGCCGGCTCTCCCTGCTTCAGCTTCTTGTTTAAAAGAGGAAGAATCTGAACTGGTTAATCTTGCTAACACTTTAGGGAATTGATTTCGCAAATGTTTGAGTAGTGAGGGCAAACCTTTAATACAGCACATGTGACGTGTATCAGCCAAGCCACGCACATCACAGCTGGAATACAGAGGTCAAAGGTGGAGGAAGGTAGAGTTCACAGCCACGGTCGATCTGGCAGACACTCCACCCCCGTCCCCATGACCACTTCCCTGGGACATGGGGAAAAAGGGTGATGGCTGTGGTGCCCTCAGCTCAGCCCATGGTGGGCATGTGCAGGGGAGTGTGTTTGAAGGGTGGAGGTGAAGAGAGGAGCATCTAGAAGGGGACCTACCCTCCCTCTGCTCCATTGCCGTCAGAGAGAAGCTTTGGTTCTGGGCCCTGAGGACACCTTTGGAGCTGAAGGAAGAGGGGTCCTTCCCCTTGAATTTTCTTTATTCGAACATTAAAAGAGGAGGAGTCTCAGCAATATTTAAGACCTGAAGAAAATTAGATTGTGTGTGTGTGTGTCTGTCTGTAGTTCTGCCTAGTGTCCATCACATAGTAATGGCTCAAAACTTCGTTTTTGCCTTCTTTCTCAGAGGACTTACTAGACACATTACAAACATCCCCACTCCCACGCAGGGAAGAAAAGTCTCGATGCTCTTCTTGTCTTAGCACAGGCTCACCTCTGTGAGTCCTACATTCATCCATCCCACCAGCACCAGGATGTGCCAGGCACCGCGATGGCAGAGAAAACTGCTCCCATCTCGGCTTCTCATAGCCGCTGGCCAGAGAGGCTGCCCCAAAGGCTGAGGGGTCAATAGCTCGGCACCCCTGTAACTTCCCAACCGAACTGAAAGCCCTGATCTAGAAGAAATCACAGAAAACTTGGTAATGGTTCAGTCAAGGGACGGATGCAAGGGACTTTGGCTTTCAACTCTTCTCCTTATATACTATTTTAAGTTATCAAAATGGGAGAGTGTTACTAGTATGAAGATAAATATGGCTTCTAAAGAGCCATGGTGGAGAGGCTGGCTTTGACTCCTCTTCTGAGACTGGAAGGAATAAGGTGGGAGAAGGGGGTTAGGGAATAAAAGTGGAGATAGTGAGATAACTATACTGTTTGAAAGGAATCTGACTGATAAATGAATGATATCATTGCAAAGTTGTGTCTTCATAACTTTGGGTTTCCATAATTTCCTCCTATTAACACCTTGAATATCAGTATAGGAGTCACCTAATCAGAACAAAGGAATTTTATGCACCTGTTAATTATAAAAACTATATGCTTATATTGGATGCACTCTTAGAAATGTAATTATCTATTGCTCTTGTAACTTTTATATTAATATAAGAAAAATAAAAAGCAGAATAGAAATAGTATATGCCAGTGTAAACTGTGGCTGAGGAGAGGTACTAAAAGGTAAAATGCTATAATTGAAATAATTCTTGTGTCCTGGACACTTCTGGCCTCAAAACTGGACTCAGGACCTCAACTGTTGCCACTGTGAATAAGCTAACGCTGTTCCTTGGCCACTCCGAGTCCCGCTCCAGTGGGGGAGAAGGGGTTCTTCTTCCCACCAAGATGCGACCATTGGGTAAATCCCCAGGTAGAAGGGTGTTCTCATGCCAGGACTTGTTCCCAAAAGACAAATGTCCATTGTAGCTGGCAACTGGTTGTGGAATTTTCTGTCAAAATTATCTTCATTTGTTGCACTGTATTTTTGAAAGGTAATGCGTTCACATGATTAAAATGCTAGAAAGCATATCGCGATACACACAAAGGGAGAGTTTTCCTCCCACCCCTGTCTAGTTCTCTGACTAGTTCCTCCCACCCTAAAGTTTCTTGGGTATCCTTCCAGAATCTCTGATGCACCTACAAGGAATAAAAGCACAAACTATTACTTTCCCCTTTTTATTACACAAGAAGTACATTATACACACTGTCAGATATCTTGCTTTGTTAATGATTTTCTCACACATGGAGGAAATATCAGTACGTAGAAAGCCTCCTCATTTTTAGAGTTGCATAGTATTCCACTGTTCATTGTATCCCAGTTCATTTAACCAGTAGTCCCCTATTGATAGACATTGGACATTGTTACTGAACATTTGTTATTATCAGCAACACTGCAGCGAATAACCTTATACATGTATTACGTACACAGGTCAGAATCTTTGTAGGATTAATGCCCAAACGTGGAATTACTGGGGCAAGAGGTACATATACATTTGCAATTTTGAAAGGTGGGTCAAACTGCCCTCGAATGTACCAATTCACAACACCAAAATCTATGCGAATCCCTGGTTTCCCACAGCCTCGTGTTTTTAAAGTTTAAAAAATTAACTTGCAGGTCTGTCTTTGCCTTTGCCCCTCTTAGCTTCTTTGTTTTAAGTCTGTACCTAAGGCAATGAGGGCCTGGTGAGAGTGAGGGGTGGAAGATGGGAGGGGCTTGGGAGGCAGACTCAGGGTGGCCTGGTGACTGCCAGGGAGGAAGAAGAGCTCCCGGTGTCATGCTGCCAGCCTGCCCATCCAGTCTGGCCACGGGCCCCTCCCCTCACGCCACCAGCTCGGAGCCGCCCAGCTCAGGGTCATCAGCCTGACCTCGCAGCCGTGCTCCCTCACCTCCCAGAATTCCAGAGGGGAGCTGTCACCCGAAGGAATCAAGTCTGGTCTCCTTGGCACCAAACCACACACCTAGACCTATTCATAGCAAGATTGCACAACCGGCTGGAGAACAGCCTGGCGGGGCACAGGGAGAACGGTGCTACTCCTTAGCCGGGCCCTGGCCCACTGGTGCCCCTGGGCAAGGCTTCCAGCTCTCAGAGCGGGGCTGTCCCCAGGAGGGGTGGTGGGGGGGTGGGGCTGGGGGCCTCAAGGGTCTCAGTGGCTCCTCCTCACAAGTGGGGGGAACACACTCCTCCAAAGGAGAAGCTCTGACACTGTCCCGTGGGCTGGTGCCCCGCCAGCCCTCCTCCTGCCCTGCTGTGCAGGTTGGCACGTGGGGTGAGAGGGGGCTCTGCTTAGGGAACGCAGAAGCCAGGAGGCAGGATTTTACAAAGAGGAAGCGGAGTCATTTTATGAAGAAGCCCTTTCCGTCTCTGTGGGGAACCGGTGTCACGGAGTAGGGGAGGGAAACAACTTTGGAAGGGACAGGCCTTGACTGGAGCCAGCCCTGCCCTTCACTAGCTGAATGGTGATAGGCGAGTTCCTTCATTTCTCTGGGCTTCTGTTTTCTCTTTTGTCAAATGGGACAAGGCTGCCTGTGTCTCGGGTCGTGAGGATGACCTGAGAGGGCACGTGGGAAGTACTGCAGCGCTTTCAGCAAGTCAGCAGCAAGCCCTTCGTGAGAAGTCCTCTCTTTACACACAGCCCACTGGCTCCACACCCCGTGGGGTGCTGTCTGCTTTTCTTTTTTAACATCTTTATTGGAGTATAATTGCTTTACAATGGTGTGTTAGTTTCTGCTTTATAACAAAGTGAATCAGTTATACGTATACATATATCCCCGTATCCCCTCCCTCTTGCGTCTCCCTCCCCCCCTCCCTATCCCACCCTCTAGGTGGTCACAAAGCACCGAGCTGATCTCCCTGTGCTATGTGGCTGCTTCCCACTAGCTATTTTACATTTGGTAGTGTATATATGTCCATGCCACTGTCTCACTTCATCCCAGCTTACCCTTCCCCCTCCCCGTGTCCTCAAGTCCATTCTCTATGTCTGCATCTTTATTCTTTGATGGCTTCTCATGACATAAAACAAAATTCGACATGGTAATGAACCCTGTCAGTATAATTAGATTGCACAGCAATTAAGCAATTAAGGTAACCGACCTGTAAGATTTTTCTGCTCTCATCTTCTTCAGGACCTGTTGGCAGCAGCCATGCTCGTGGTCCATGTCCTCTGTGCTGTGTACCATAGAATCCTCATCATCACGAAGAACTCAAATGTCATGGCAAGACAGGATTGCAAGACTTGTTTCTGGCCCTGGCTCGGCCACTAAACGCTGTGTGGCCTTGAGTGAGTCATTTCCCTCTCTAGGCATCAGTTTCCCCATCTGCAACATCCACTTCACGAACCCACCGGACTTCATAAGGCATCAGGACCAGCCTGGAAATGGAGCACGTGCTTTACAAACCACAAAGCAGGTATCAGAACCACAGACACTGTTTTGAGTTAGGAAATTGGCAAATGTTCATACATTCATTTTTCAGAAGGGAAACTGAGGCAGAGTCCAAAGTGGGCTTAAAGGTTCATGGTTTCTGGTTGTAACCAACCCCTCTGTTCCTCCGTCTCCAAAGTCACATGCTTAAGGCAGTGAGGCCCTGGGGAGAGAGGGGAGAGAGTGCATCCTAAAGAGATAGGGAAAGAGATGGAGAAAGGGGAAAGGATGGAAGAGGAAATGGGAACTGGAGATGGGGGGGGGGGAGGGGGGAGGTAGGGTGGGGGGGGAGGGTGGCTTGCCCTGTGGTGTCTATTTCAGAGGAGGTGGTGCACCCTATGGAGATGTCAGCCCTGTAACCCATCTGGTGTTACGTGAGTCTCTCCAGTTTCTGTCCTGAAGAAGTGAGATGATACAGGGGCCCACAAGGGCCCAGCTGGAAGGTCTCTCAGACACAGACAGGAGGCCAGGGTGACCCGCTGCTAATTTGAACGGTGCAGGGAATGGCAGCAGGCTGGAACCTGCCCTTGTAATAAAGGGAAACTGCCTCCTGGCAAGTGTGTGTGTGTGTATGTGTGTGTGTGTGTGTGTGTGTGTGTGTGTGTGTGTGTGTGTGTGAGAGAGAGAGAGAGAGGCCCTCTGATGTTGCTGTCTCCAGGATGGGCCAGGATGGCCTTTCCTCAACAGACCCCTTCCTGCCCACCGGCATTGTTGTGGCTCTGTTGGGTGTTTGGAGGATTAAAGAGAAGCTAACCAGGTAGTTTGAGGCTTCTACCTGCTGTTTTTGTACCTCCCTGAGTGTAAAAGTTCAGGCCCCCCGACTCCCACCCCTTGGCTATACACAGGGGTCACTCCACCCTTGGAGGTGGAGCTGCCCCTCAGGCTTTAGAAAAGAAAGGAGCGGGATGGATAGGCATCTGGTTTTGCCTTTGTAAGTGATTTGCCTTAGGTAAGGAACTTAAACCCCTGTGTCTTCATGTTCGCATCTGCAAAATAGAGATGATAATAATAATCATACCTTGTCATGTTATTGTGAGGATTAAAGGAGATCGTGCATGGACACCTCTTAGAATGGACCTGGCACATAGTAAGTGCTTGCTACACCTAGCTATGTTTATTAGTACATTGGAATTGCTCAATAAATCACAGATCATAGATTTTGTCATTAAGTTGCTAAAATGTAGCCACTATACTCTGTCCAAGACAAAAGACAGCAGATCCTTCAAAATGTGCTCCTTGGATCATGTCTATCAGGAAGGCGTTAGGGAGCTTACTAAAAATTCAGATTCCTTGGATCCATTCCAAAAGTGCCAAATCAGAATCCAGCGGGGCCTAAAATTCTGGCTTTTCCATGATTCTAAAGTACACTAAAGTTTGAAAATTCCTGAGGGTAAAAGGTAAGAATGCTCATCCATTTGGGGCATCCTCTGTAGTAGGCAGAATAATGGCCCCCCATAGATGTCCATGTCCCACTCTCTGGAACCTGTGGATGTCTTAGGTTATATGGCAAGGGGGAATTTAGGTTGCTAATTAAGAATTTCAAAAGAAGAAGATTATCTGCCCAATGTAATCACAATGGTCCTTACATGGAGTAGAGGGAGACAGAAGAGTTGGAACCAGAAAGATGGCATTGTGAGGAATACTCGACTGGCCCTGGAGATGGAGGAAGGGCCACCAGTCAAGGAATGAGGGCAGCCTCTAGAATCTGAAAAAGGCAAGAGCCTCTAGAAGGAACTCATCCCTGCTTGATTTTAGCCCATGAAACCCAACCTGGACTTCTAACCTCCAGAATCATCAAGATAATAAAATGGTGTTATTTTCAGCCACTAAGTTTATGGTGATGTGTCACAGCAGCAACAGGAAACAAATATGTCCTTTTCAACCAGGTTGGATTCATGCCACTGGATCTGGAAGACCTGAGAGGTGCAGCCATGGGCTAGGGTGGGAGCCCTTGGCTGAGGGGAGCTACAAGGGAAGGGGGACCAGCTGCCAGGTTCACAGGCTGTCCTCACAGCTTTGCTGACCCTCCTGCCATTTGTACCTTGTTCATTTCCACTCTGGTGCTCAGAACAGCTGTTGAGCAAGATGCTTGTACATCACGGGGGCTCAGAGTGTCTATAAATTGCAAACAATCCAGAGGCCCAAAGAATCTGTATCATGTTTCCCACCCCAGCCAAGAGGGCTGGAAGCACCTGGAAACAGTGCAATTGGTTCTTCTCAGATCCCCAAGGAAAGGGGAGGAAACATGGCAGAGCCTCCCGACTGGAGTGGGGTGCCCCTCCCCCATACCCAGATTCTCTGGAGATGGAAACACAAGGGCAGTTCTCACACCCACACCTTCCCCGAGGGTGGGCATTGCCTGGCTTCATTCTCTCCCTGGGTTCTTCCTGCACTGGACGAACCTTAGGCCTGTCTCTCGCCCATTCCCTGCCCTGCCATCCTCACCTCCCCTGCTCTCCAACCTACTGAGACCTACTGAGTAATAGGCACTGTGCTGGTCTGACACATACCATCTCTTCTTCCTGATTTCATTATGAAAATTTAGAAACATATAGAAAAGTTGAAAAAATGATTACCCACATGCCTGTCACTTAGATTCAACAATTCCTAACATTTGCCATATTTGCTTTATATATTTATATATTAGGTGTATATGTGTGTGTGTGCGTGTGTGTGTATACATATATATGTTTTTGTTTTGCCAAATCTTTTGAAAGTTCAGCCATCACAGCTCGTCCCCTCGAAATACCTCAGCATGCATCTTTCAAACCCCATTAAGATCCCTGCAAAGTACAGTTATCAGCCCCACCTTACACCTGAAAAATTCGAATGTAAGAATTTGAGATTCAAAGAATGAAATTACTTGCCCAGAATCACACAGATGGTCAGTGATGGAACAGGGACTTGACCTCAGGTTCACATTCTGTCTTCTATTTGAATGGTTCTAGAGCTCAGAATTATAGTCATCCCAGGAGGACATGCCTCTGACTTTGGATTTCTTTCTGTGAGAAAACTCAAAGTATTTCAGAGAAACAAAATTTCATCTTAACAGTATCCCCTTAAGGTCAAAGCTACCACTTCCCAAGAGGTAAATTCCAAGACACCAGGTTACAGGAAAAGATGTTCAAGGTACAGGCCCCAGAGGCCAAGCCTACTGCCACTGAATGCAGGTAACAGTGTTGGAGCACCCCCAGCACGTACCTCAGTGACCTGCCATCTCAGATCGCTATAAAGCAGGAGACTGGTGAATTGTCCCCATTTTACTGGTGGAAACACCAAGGCATAGAAGGGACCTGCTCACAAAAGAATTGAATTCCCAAATAATGAAGAAAGGTCTGATAGTGGGCCTCCAAGTATGGGCTGCTAACCACCTGAACCAAAACAACCTGGGAAGCTTGTTTAGGATGCAAACTCCCAAGTTTACCCTGGATCCAGGGAATCGGATCATCGAGGGGTGGGGGTCCTGGACTCTTAACCCCTTCCCCAGGCCATCACTGCCAACTCAAGGTAGAGAACCAGTGGCCAGATTCCTAGACACTACCCTACCCCTCGCTGTACACTACATGACATTGTGCTACACTACACTCTACCGCTGGACTCCCTGTTAAATTGCGCTACTTTCTCAATGATCCTTTTGTAAAAAAATCTCGGAGTAGTTTAGTTTTTAATCTTTAAGAATTTGTCTGAATTTACCTACAGTAAAACTCACTCCTTTTTTATACAGTTTTTTTTTGTTTTTTTTTTTTGCGGTACACGGGCCTCTCACCGTTGTGGCCTCTCCCGCCACGGAGCACAGGCTCCGGACGCGCAGGCCCAGCGGCCATGGCTCACGGGGCCAGCCGCTCTGCGGCATGTGGGATCCTCCCAGACCGGGGCACGAACCCGTGTCCTCTGCATCGGCAGGTGGACTCCCAACCACTGCGCCACCAGGGAAGCCCTTTTATACAGTTTTAACAAATGCTTTGAGTCCTGTAACCACCACTATAATCAAGATACAGGACAGTTCCACCACCTGGCAGGAACTCCTCTGTGCTACCAACCCCCTTCTAGTCAAACCCTTCTTGAACACTTACCCCTGGTGACCACTGATCTGGTCCCATCCCTGTAGTTCTGCCTCTCCCAGAATGTCACTTAACCATACAGTCATATAATACACACCCTTTGGAGTCCGGCCTCTTTCACTTGGCATAAAGCATTTGTGACAGGTAACAGTATTTCACTCCTTTTGTTGTTTTTATGAAGGTACCAGAGTCATTCAGGGTCAACTGAAGGACATTTGGGTGGTTTCTGGGTTTTGGTGATAAACCTAATGATGTTAATGATGTAAATTATTTTCCATGGAGGAGGAAAAATCTGACATAGCGCCAGTGTGGTAAGAGGGGGTAGGTGGTGAATTAAAGACAGTGGTTTACACGTGGTTCCTGCCAGTGGGTCACCTTTTTAACAGGCTAGGTTCAGCCAGGGAGGACTTAAAGTTTGTCATCATAATAAACCTCTGGTCCTCCAAAATCATAAAAATAACAGGGTCTGACAGAGTGCCTCAGAGTCCGTTTCTCACAAATGAAATGAAAAAGCCTTGGAACATCAGGCCCCCAAATTCACTCTGAAACCATTGGGGTGAACCTCTCTTCTCTTAGAATGTGTTAGGTCACGTGGGGAGGTGGGGAGGAGTCCTCGAGTGTCATAGTCCTTCTTCCCTACAGTTTATGATGCTTTTGCCCAACTGAATCTATTTGATCTTCCAACAAGCCCAAGAGGAAGAAAGGCAGATATTTTTACTTGCATTATTATTTTTTTTTTTTGCGGTACGCGGGCCTCTCACTGTTGTGGCCTCTCCCGTCGCGGAGCACAGGTTCCAGACGTGCAGGCTCAGCGGCCATGGTTCACTGGCCTAGCCGCTCCGCGGCATGTGGGATCTTCCCGGACCGGGGCACGGACCCATGTCCCCTGCATCGGCAGGCGGACTCTCAACCACTGTGCCACCAGGGAAGCCCTACTTGCATTATTTTGAAGATAAGGTTGTGAGAGCTAAAGGAAGATGGTGTTTGTCCAAAGTCAACAAGGGCCCTTGGTTGGGGAGAAAACCCAGTTGTTCTGATTCTCAACCCGGTGTTTTCTGGTTTTAAAGTTTTACAACCTCTACAGATGGACAATGTAAGAGTGGTGATTATCTCTTTAATCCACACAGTGAAGAATCAACTCTTGCTCAGAGTAAGTGATAGGGTGGGTAGCAAGAGAACAGAGCAAGTTTAAATCACGTCTCCTTGCTGGCCTTGATGTTCTCATCCATAAGATGGGTGAAACAATTCCTACCTCCTACTGTGTTTGCAAAGATGAGAGGTCTCAGAGGGGCTAATAATGCAAGTGGGTAAGGCATACAAGGCACCCCGCAAATGGTAGCAATGATTAATTATTTGGTTTATCAGGAGAAACATAGATCATGCACACCATGAACTCCGTGCAGTGGGTACCCTCTGCTCTGAGCCCTGCACGGGATTTCTGAGGCCTCAATTTTTTCTGGAAACGATGGAGGAAACCAAGGGGTTAAGGAGGAGGCCTGGAAGCTGGCACAGCTGGGGCCCATTAGCTCCTAATGAGGGCCCAGCCCGGGGAAGGAGGCCTAGCAGCGGTGAAAAGGGGCGCTGAGGATGCCTCCGTGGAGGAAACTTGGGCTGAAAATTGTTTTTCTTCATTCTGAACTCGGTTTTACACTCCAGAGGGGAGTTCTTCGTGTCTGAACTTGGGTTTTGAGCCCTGGCGCTGGTGGTTTTTGCAGTAAATGGCTTGCCGCTCCTTGTGGGGCAATATTGCTATTGATGTTGGGCCAAGGTGGTTAGGAAACGGGATCTTCCAAATGGGGACTTTGTGGTTTGGCCACACGGAGCTGCGTTCTCCACAAGCGCAGTTGGGGGTTGAGACAGTTACCCGCAGGGTGGGGTCTGAGGGTGAAGTGGTGTTTCTCCTCCGCCACTCCACTCTCTGCCCGCTTCTCGGCATTATTATTATTGTTGTTGCCCCAGCGTTGCCCATATTGTGGCCTCAGGCGCCACCAAGAGGAGGGGCTGCGTTAGGAACAAGCGGGCCCCAGAGGAGCCCCCTGAGAGCAGGAAAGTAGGAGACCGGGGCACCAGCGGGTCTCTGGAGGATGAAATGTGTCCTCTGACTGCCCGTCTGTCTCCCATGGCACAGGACTCCCTTCCTAGACCCTTGGTGCTGCGGGGTTGGAGAAGTGGGGAGAGAGCAGCAGAGGGGCAGCGGCCTGGAGAAGGCCCAGGGACCCTCACCCTCTCCAGGGAGCCTTCCAGGACTGCTAGGCAGCCGTAGGCGCCTTTGCCGTGTCCCCCCTCAGCCCCCGTCCCCTCCTCGTCACGCTACATTGTAATTGTCACAGTGTGTTGTAATTACTCGTGTGACTGGCTGTGTCCCCACTGTACGGGTCACGTGCAGCTGTGGTAGCTGCTCTGAACACCCTCATGGAGTGACCCAATGCATTTGAAGAGAAGAAGGAACTCTGAAGACATCTCCAGGAGTGAGCTGAAGGGGCTTGTGTCCAGGGATTCGCCCGCTCGGCATTTTTGTCCTGCTGGAAAAGCTCTCACCAAGGAGTGGCAGGTAAGAGCCCTCACTCCTGCCCTTTGAGTCTGATTTCCTTTGAGTTGCGCCTTCCATTTTATTCCAACCATTCCACAGGAGCATTCCAAAGCTAAGCCAGGAGCAGCAGTACTGGCTTAGTTTTAGGCACATGTAACGTTTGTCTTCACGGCCACCATCGGCACAAGAGGCCTCGCCCCAGGTCTCCTGTCCCTCTGGGTCGTCCAGGTGTGCAGATGGCACCAAATAAGCTTGTTCCTTGAACTCATTTAGCTTGTCCTTGGTCATGGCTTCACGCCCTGCCTCTCTGATGCTGAGGTAAGAGTGCTGATGACCATACACATCAAATTCAGTCCTGGCTGTTACAGAGGGGAGGTTGAAAAGGAACAAAAGCACTTAAGCCAGGAGCCTCCAATGCGTTGGGTAGTGGGGGAGGGGAGGAAATAATACAGAGCTTCCGTCCATGTCCATGGTGTAATCTGGAGGCAGCGGACAAGGGTACAGTGTGAGAGGAGCTGGGATGGATGAAGTGCGGAGGAGTTGCCCAGATGGTGAAGCTGATGACCCTCTGGACATGCCCTAGTTCACACAGCCCGCCCCTCTTGTTCACCTTGACTGGTGTGGTTAGTTGTCCCCTGCCTGTCTCCCTCAGCAGGCTGGTCTCTCTCGAGACTTCCAGGCAGGCGTGGGCAGGTAGATGCTCAGGACCCAGTCTAACTGAGCCAGTAATACATTCGGTTGACTCGCATAAGTTTTTATTTCCATGTGTTCACTTGTTGATGTTTTTCCTCATTGCCCAAGAGGACTGATTATGCATGAAACCGTGATGTGCCTTCTACGATCTGCCTAGAGAATCACCTCAGCGTTGGCCAGAGCTCAGCATTCTTAGCCACACAGGGCTCAGAGATGCGTTCAGTGGGACCCAGAACTCCTGGATGTCCTGCAGGCCGGCAGTCAGCACAGTCCAGAGGAGTGGCCAGGATGCCAAGTTGAGATGGAGGGTCCAGGATAGCCTGTCCCCCAGGCTCCAGTCTCCCTCTCCTGCTTCGCCCACTGGCATCTGCACCCCTGCGCCTCAGTGCGCTCCCGGCTCCTGGTACCCCTGTGCTCGCCCTCCCACAAACCCCACAGTCCTGGCCCGGAGGTCGCTGCAGGGAATAGGGGTGGGCAGTCTCACAGCTCAGGCCAGAGAGAGGAATCCTGGGCCCCAGCTATTTTCAGGGCTAAAATTGAAGCCCATGGTTTATTTGCTCAGCACTTAATTAGACTCCAGTGCGGCGCGAGGCTGCCTCGTTCCCGCCCACGAGCGAAGGCCTGACCAGTGGGTTTGGGAGCTGACGCCATGTCACAGGCGGGAGGTTGGGACCTGGAGTATTTTTACAAATGCGAGGCTACGGAGAACAAAACCGCTTGGCCCCCAGCCAGTTAGTCTAAGTCGGTTGGGAGACGGAGGGAGCAGGAAAGCGTTATATCATCCTTCCTTCTTTGAACCGCATCGTAAATCTGCCAGACAGGAAACGGGGATCTGGAGGGGAGGGGCGACGTGGGGGTAGCCAGCGAGGCCGGAGCGGGGCCACGTTACCAGCGCCCCGGGCGCCTGGCTCAGGAGGGGCCCCGCCCGCGGGGGAGCAGACGCACGCGGAGGAGGACGCTGGGGGAGGGGAGGGGCCGGCACGAGGGCGCCGCGGGGGCGTGGAAAGCTTCCTGGGTCAGGTCGGAGGGGGAGGGCTGTTTGTGCCTGAGGGTTTCTGGGCGCCCTTCAGGTCCTCCACTTAAACCTACTTTTGTAGAGGTTTAGAGCTGGAAGGGATTTTAGAGACCCTTTAAGGCGGATGTTGAGGGCAACAGAGGAAAAATAAATTACCTGAAGCCACACAGCTAATGAGACCTGGCAGTGGTGCCAGGGGTCTTCTGACTCCTAAGTTGGCTGTCCACTAGCTCCCCTTCTTGGTGCTGTCCTTTGGCTTTTATGGAGACACAGCAGAGTGAAGGTAAGGCAGAATGTACAAATGCATTTGGGTGAAATGACACATTAATTCAATTCACATTAAGAGGTAAATAATTGATGTTTAATACTTTACTGAGGAGAGATTTTGATGAGGAGGCCCCCGAGCTCTGTGGTGGAGCACTTCTGACCATCACGGTGGGGAGGCATCGTCTTGCTGCTGACCAGGGTTCTTGGCCTTCCCAAATCAATAGAAATTGATAAGAGACCAGACAAGATATTCAGGCAAGGATTCCTCGGGGTTCCTGCTGTAGCAGGAGGGAGCGAAAACAGGTAACAGGTTCCCTTGCTAGCTCCCTGAGGGGGGACCAGCTGGTTCCTTATAAGGGAGTTCCAGGGGTTGGACCAGAGGGGTGGCTTAGGTGACTTGCCTACCCGTTTGGTGGTGTTGTGTGCATGGGGCAGGCACGGTACCCTGCTTTTGCTCCCGGCTTTTCAAAGTGGCAGTTGGGTTCTTGGTCTTTTTGTATCTTGTTGTCCATAATTTGCTCCAAATGAGCATGCATACAGCTGTTTTTAGTCCCCATATAGTTTCTTTGTATTTTGTTGCTTGAGGAGACGTGTGTCCAGGTGCAAGTACTGCAGCAAAGGGTCCCAGATCCCAGGTCCCAGCCTGTCTCGATCTGTTCGTGATCAATTTAAGGCCATTCCAGCCTTTGTGTTTCTGGAGGGCATAGGTGGGAGGAAGCTGAGACCTGTGATGTCTCTGAAGTAGAATCAGTTTCCTCCCAGGGAGGAATGATAACAGGAAATCTAGCTAATGACCACCCATATTCATAAATTTTGCAACATTTCTCTATAAAGATCTAGATACCAGCCTTAGAAGTACAATTACTGTTGGATTAAACTTATGCTCACCCATGAAATCACAGAAACGCCTGTTTTCCACCTGTTCCTTCCCCTCCCACAACACTCCTGAGGCTGCCTCTCAAATGAGGAATCCAACAGATGAGAATAGTATAAGCTCTTCCTACGCACTACAGGACCCTAAATTAAGTTAAATAATAGCCATAGCCAACATTTATTTATTTATGTTTTGGCCAAGTGCTTCACAAGCATTACCTCATGTCATCTTGATAACTACTATTGTCATCATCCCCACTTCACGATGAGGATATTGAAGCTCAGAGAGGTTAAGTAATTTGCCCAAAGTAACCCAGGTAGGGCCAAGACTTGACCCAAGGCAGACTTATTCTGCAGCCTATGTTTCAACTACCCCAGACTGCTTCCACGGGTAGAAACAAAATTTTTTGGCATATAGAGGGAGGTAAATAGAATTTTATCCAATAACAAGAATGAGGCCCACACTGTTTATTACCCAGGCTAGAGGATACCAAATGGTGAGGAGTATCAGGCCCTGGAGAGTGTCTGGCTGAGAGCAGAAGTTAGGCTGGGATTGCCATGTTCTACGCCCTGTGCCTGGTGTTTGGCGTACATTTCTGCTTTTCTGGGCAAATAGCCTAAATAACTCCTTCACTTCTCTTTGGTGGAGCCTTGAGCCATCAGTACCATATCACCTCCACTCCATTTTTGTCTCATATCTGTCACCCAGCCCATTTCCATGGCCTAAACCTGCAATTATTTGGTGTCTGCTGAATGCAAATGAAGCTGATTCTTGATACCCAGTGGCAGTTGATTTAGGCTCTTAGTTATTCCCTCTTCTCCTTCTGTTACTTCTTTTCTGCTACTTTAGAAATTTTATCACCTCCACCAGGAAGCACACAAGTGGAAGGAAAGCATGCTCATTGTTAGTCTTTTGTTGTCAGCTAACTCTTAGTTAGTAGTTACCACTAGAAAAAGACTAGTGGGGAAGAAGTCTGAGGCTTGTAGATTACACTTTTGCCTGTGCATTCCCTGTAATCTGATAGCCTAGTTAATGTCTAAACTTTTTTCTTAGTTGGGCCTTGGCTGTGTTTCTTGAATTATCTGTCATCTTTCACCCATGGCCCACCCTTGGTCAAATTCTGTGATTGAGGAATATGGACAGCGCTAGGTTTTCACTGTCTCTCATTTAATGAATTAATGCATGTAAGGTCCTAGGACATTTCCTCACCCACAGTAAACCCTCAATAATTGTTGGTTATAATTATCGTTGACATTATAACATATTGTTTGAAAAATAATACTCAACATCCAAGGCATCAATTATTTTTGTTATCCTAAGATTTTTACTATAGCAACTGAGATTGAGTTTTATTATTATTTTTTTTTTTTTTGAGATTGAGTTTTAAAGCAAAGGTTCCTCAAGGGCAGGAACCAAGGATGATAAAATAGAGCAGTACTAGTTATAAACTCCTTAGGGGGTGACTTCTGCTTCTAGACACGATGGACTAGCTTGTAGCAGACCAATCCTCCCTACGAGAACAATTAGAAATACCTAGATTTAAAAAAAACTGTAAAATATCTATTTGGAAGCATTGGAGAGCTACAAAGACAGGGTCTAAGATGGTAGAGAAAAAGGAAACACAGAGAGGTGAGTGGCTCAACATACTGCTGCTTTCTCCACAAAGCATTTGCAGTTCTGAATGAGTACAGAGATGCCGAGCAGCTGAACAGGGTTGTTGGCAATTTCACAGGGCTAAGGAAACAAAGATTGGGATTTAAGTCTTTCCAAAAGGAGGGGTTCTAGTAAACATCCCAGTCTTTTAGCTGGAAACCTTGAAGGCTATATCCTGGTAGTAAAGCTAGCCTGAAAATAGACTAGCACTCACAGAGACTAAAACTCAGATCTGAATCAATTCAATCTCAGAATAGATTAAGGAGATATTCTCCTAGCTAACTGCCTGCCAGAAACCAAGTAAATCCTCTTTGGAGGAAGCTAACATCATCCAGAGCCTCAAATTATCACTACAATTTTTCATGCACAGTATGTGCTTTAAAAAATACCAGGCATACAAGAAGATAGGACCAAATAACTGAAAACTAAGAGAAAAAAATGATATAATTTAAACATATATGTTGAATTTCTTTTAAAAAGAATCAAATAAGAATTCTAGGACTGAAATTAAGAACTTATGGAAGGGTTTAAAAGCAGATTACACACAACTGAAGAGATAATTCATGAACTTGAATATAAGCCAGAAAAAATATGCAGACCTCTCTCTAATTACAAGATAAAAAGTTTATGAAATATAGACAAGAGCCTACGATATATATGGAACCCAGCGTAAACTTTGTATAATTAGAGTCCTGGAAGGAAAGGAGAGAGATAATGTAGCATAAATAAGATTTTAAGAGAAAATTATCTGAGAATTTAAAAACTGACAAAAAACATAACGCCACAGATTCAAAAGGTGCTACAAACCCCAAGCAGGCAAATACAAAGAAAGTCATAACTAGGCACGTTATAGTAACTGAAAACAACCAAAGAAAAAACTGTAAAAGCAGCCTATGTTAAAAAACAAACAAACAACAAGAAAGCTACGCTTTGCTTAGAGACACAATAAGAAGATAGCCAATTTTGAACAAAAACAATGGAAGCTAAAAAAATAATAAAATGACATTTTTAAAAGGCTAAAAAAACCCCTGCTAACCCAGAATTCTATAACTAGAGAAAGTATCATTCAAAAACGAAAGTGAAATAAAGACATTTTCAGCCAAACAAAAACTGAGATGGTTTCTAGCTAGCTGACAGACACCAAAGGAAAAAGTAAGCAGAGTTTTTTAGGTAGAAGGAAAAGAATCCCAGAAGGAATCAAGAAAATGCAAAAAGGAATATCGCATTTTATATGTGTGTGTGTATATATATATACCACATCTTCTTTATACATTTATCTGTTAGTGGACATTTAGGTTGTTTCCATGTCTTGGCATTGTATATAGTGCTGCTATGAATATTGAGGTGCGAATTAGAGTTTTCTCTGGATATATGCCCAGGAGTGGGATTGCTGGGTCATATGGTAACTCTTGTTTTTTTCAGTAGTTTTTTAAGAAACCTCCATACTGTTCTCCTAATGGCTGCACCAATTTACATTTCCACCAACAATGCAGGAGGGTTCCCTTTTCTCCACACCCTATTCAGCACTTATTATTTGTTGACTTTTTAATAATGGCCATTCTTACTGGTGTGAGGTGATACATCAATGTGGTTTTGATTTGCCTTTCTCTAAGTTAACGATGTTGAACATCTTTTCATGTGCCTGTTGGCCATCTGTATGTCTTCTTTGGAGAAATGTCTATTTAAGTCTTCTGCCCATTTTTTGGTTGGGTTATTTGGTTTTTTTTTTTTTAATATTGAGCTGTATGAACTGTTTGTATATTTTGGAAATTAACCCCTTGTCAGTGCACTGTTTGCAAATATTTTCTCCCATTCCATAGGTTGTCTTTTTGTTTTGTTTATGGTCTCCTTTGCTGCACAAAAGCTTTTAAGTTTAATTAGGTACCATTTGTTTACTTTTGTTTTTGTTTCCATTACTCTAGGAGGTGGGTCCAAAAAAATATTGCGGCAATTTATGTCAAAGAGTGTCCTGCCTATGTTTTCCTCTAGGAGTTTTATAGTATCCAATCTTGCATTTAGGTCTTAATCCATTTTGAGTTTATTTTTGTATATGGTGTTAGAGAATGTTCTGATTTCATTCTTTTACATGTAGCTGTCCAGTTTTCCCAGCACCATTAAGTGATACACTTCTAAATGATCTGTGGATCAAAGAAAAAGAGAAAGTATTTTAACTAAATGATAATATAATATAACATGTATTATATATAATCAAAACATGTATATAACCAAAACATAAGGGATTCTGTTGAAGCTGTGCTTGGGAGTTGGGGGCAGCCATTTATAGCATGAAAAGATATGTTAAAAAAGAAGAAAGGCTGAAAATCAGTTATGTAGGAATCTATCCCAAGAAATTAGGGGGGAAAAACTCAGCAGATTAAACCCAAGAAGGTAGAAGAACATAATAAAGATAAAAGCCAAAAATTAATAAAATAGTAAACAAATGTATAGTGAGAGAGTCAACAAAGCCAAAAGTTTGTTCTATAATACAA